CTAATCCCCCAAACTCAGACACCCGCAAACCCATTCCTATCCTTCAAACACACTCCAATCCACTCCTCCAAAACCAAACCACTCCCAAAAATCCAAAATAGCTCAAACCATCAACCGCACTGAAACCCCGGCCTCTCCCAAAACTATCCCGACTCCCCTGTCCCTGATCCCAGCACATTTCCCGACCCGTGGAGTGAAACTGCCTCTTCACATACCCCCTAAGTCCCACCTCCTCCTTCAGCCCCCAGCTCCAGGAAGTGGACTCCAGGCCTCACCCTGTGTCTATCAGTTGGACACATTGCAACGTACCATCGGACTGTGTGGTTCGGAGGCCACACCTGTACCAGGTGGCCAGGGTGTGGATGGGGAGGTAATTAGCCTCCAGCTCACAGTTGGGATTGAGCAGCAAACCATGCAGCTTGGAGACCAGGCTGGAGGCACGGCCTTTGTAGGGACCGAGAAAGACCCGCCTCTGGGCGTAGTCATTGGCGTGAAGATTGTCCCATATCAGCGGCCTTCGCTTGATGACCACTTGAACCTCCTCCACCGACTCTGGAGTGATCTCCTTGGAGATAACAGTGGACCCTAAAACGTGCAGATAGATTAAAAAAACACTCAGTTAGTTCGTTTCAGGGTAATTCTATTTTCTCCCCCTTGGCAAAGTCCATCCCTTGGGCTTCAGAAGAGCTTCCACCACCCAAAAGCATTGGGCTCCACAATCAACCAGCAGCCCCTCCTGAGGATGGGATATTCAAGTCCAAAACCTCGGAGAATACTGAGGCCGGACAAGATGTGTGATCCAGGCCAGGCCAGGCACTAAATATCCAAGGATACACGTCCTATTGAAAGGGCAGGCAGATGGGCAGAGGGGCGGGATGGGGTCACCTCATTAGTAAGAAATGAAATTAAATCGAGAGCAAGAAGTGATATAGAGTTGGAAGGCACAGAATCTGTGTGGGTAGAGTTGAGAGACGACAAAGGGAAAAAAGACCCTGAACTACCTGTTGCCTGCCACTTCAATGCACCACCCTGCTCCCTGGCCAACATCTCTGTCTCCGGCTTGCTACAGTGTTCCAGTGAAGCCCAACGCAAGCTGGAGGAACAACACCTCATTTTCCGCTTGGGGATCCTACAGCCCTCCGGACTCAATATTGAGTTCAATAATTTTAGGGCCTAAACTCTCCCATGTCCCAGCCCCCCACCCCACACACCAGGCCTTGTTACCACATAGCCTGCCATTACACACCCCCTGTTGTTAGTCACTAACAGTCCCCATGAACAACTATTCACCCTCCCAGCCTGATCGTTAGCAACTCCTTTGTCTGTCCAACTACTCTTCTCTCTCTTTAGGATCTATCCTATCGTTTACTCCCTAGCCCATCCCCCTCTCCCTTGTTTTCTGCATATAAACCGACATTTTCCCAGCCACCATCACATCTGAGGAAGGGTCACCGGACCTGAAACATTAACTTTGTTTTTTCCTTCACAGATGCTACCAGACCTGCTGAGCTTTGCCAGAAACTTCTGTTTTTGTTCCTGATTTACAGCATCCGCAGTTCTTTCAGTTTTTATTGAGACCTTGACAGGAGTTCTGTACAGGCCTCCTTGCTACTGTCAGAATGTGGGGAAGAAAGTAAATCAGGGGGATAGAAAAGACATGTAAGAAAAGCATGATTGCAATAATCCTGTGGGACGTCAACATGCAGGTTAAATCGGGTTGGTCGCGGATCTCAAGAAAAGGAATTTGTGAATTGTCGGTGGGATGTGATTTTTGGAGCAGCTTGTGGTAGAGCCCAATAGGGAACAGGCAATTCTGGATTTGGTGATGTGAAATGAGGCAGGCACGATCAGGGAGCTTAAGGTGAAGGAAGCAGTGACCATAATATGATAGAATTCGCCCTGCAGTTTGAGAGGGAGCTGATAGAATCAGATATAAGGGCATTACAGTTGAGTAACAGGAACTAGAAAGACATGAGGGAGGAGTTGGCCAGAGTTGATTGGAAGGGAAGCCCAGCAGGGAAGGTGGTAGAGCAGCAATAGCAGGAGTTTCTGGGGGTATTTCAGGAAGAACAGCAGAAATTCATCCCCCAAGAAGGAAGAAACATACTAAAGGGGAGGGTGAGGCAATCGTGGCTGACAAGGGAAGTCAGGGACAGCATAAATACAAAAGCAACAGCTGGGCAGAGCTGATTGGAAGTGGATCCTAGCAGGGAAGGTGGTAGAGCAGCAATGGCAGGAGGTTCTGGGGGTAATTTGAAAGGCACAGCAGAAATTCATCCCAAGGAAGAAGAAATATTTTAAGGGGAGGATGAGGCAACTGTGGCTGGCAAGGGAAGTCAGGGCCAGCATAAATGCAAAGGAAAAAGTGTACAATGTGATGAAGATTAGTGGGAAGCCAAAGATTTGGGAAGCCTTTAAAAACGAGCAGAGGATAAGTGAAAAATAATAGTGGGGGCGAAGATGAAATATGAGGGGAAGCTAGCTAGTAATATGAAAGAAAATTGCAAGAGATCTTTTTAGATAAACGAAAGGTAGGAGAGAGTGGACAGTGGACCACTGGAAAATGAAGCTTGAGAAGTAGCAATGGGGAACAAAGACATGGTGGAGGAACTGAGTGGGTACTTTCCATCAGGTTTCACACTGGATGACACCATCAGCACACCGGGACTTTACGGGGGTTGGGGGGCAGGGGTGAGTGTAGCGGCCATCACTAAGGAGAAGGTACTGGGGAAGCTGAGAGGTCTGAAGGTGGACCAGATGGACTACACCCCAGGGTTCAGAAGGAGATAGCCAAGGAGATTGTAGAGGCGTTGATGGTGATCTTTCAGGAATCACTGGAGCCAGGGAGGGTCCCAGAGGACTGGAGACTGCAGATGTGATACCCCTGTTTAAGAAGGGAGAGAGGCAGTAGATGGGAAATTATAGGTCAGTTAGCCTGACCTCGGTTGTTGGTAAGATTTGAGAATTCCTTATTAAGGATGGGCTTGAGGAGGAATTGGAAGTGCATGGTAAAACAGGATCGAGTCAGCGCGGCTTTATCAAGGGGAGATCATGCCTGATAAATCTATTAGAATTCTTTCAGGAGGTAACAAACAAGTTAGACAAAAGAGAGGCAGTGGGCTTGAATTTCCATGGTGCCACACAGGAGGCTGCTAAATAAGAGCCCATGGTGTTAGGGGCAAGGTACTGGCATGGATAGAGGGCTGGCTGACTGGTAGAAGGCACAGGGTGGGATAAAGGGGTCTTTTTCAGGATGGCAGCTGCTGACTAGTGGAATTCCTCAGGGGTCAATGTTGGGACCACAACTATTCATGTTATATATTAGTGATCTGGAAGAAGGAACCAAGGGCATTGTTGCTAAGTTTGCAGATGACCCAAAGATAGGTGGAGGGACAGTTAGTGTTGAGGAAGTGGGGAGGCTGCAGGAGGACTTGGACAGGCTGGAAGAGTGAGCAAAGAAGTGGCAGATGGAATATAGTGTGGAGCTGGAGGAACACAGCAGGCCAGGCAGCATCAGAGGGGCAGGAAAGTTGACGTTTCGGGTCTGGACCCTTCATTTCTGAAGAAGGGTCCTGACCCGAAACATTGACTCTTCTATTCCTCTGATGCTGCCTGGCCTGCTGTGTTCCTCCAGCCCCACACTATGTTATCTCAGACTCCAGGATCGGCAGTTCTTACTATCTCTGCAGATGGAATACAATGTGGGGAAGTGTGAGGTTATGCACTTTGTGGGAAGAATAGAGGCACAGACTATTTTCTAAACTGGGAAAGGCTCCGAAAATCTGAAACAAAGGGTGTTGGGAGACCTAGTTCAGGATTCTCTTAAGGTTAACATGCAGGTCCAGTTAGGTAGGCAAGTGCAATGTCAGCATTCACTTCAAGAGGGCTAGATTACAAGAGCACAGATGTACTGCTGAGGCTGTAGAAGGGTCTGGTCAGGCCGCATTTGGAACATTGTGAGCAGTTTTTGGCCCCACATCTCAGGTAGGATGTGCTGGCATTGCAGGGGGTCCAGAGGAGGTTTACAAGAATGACTAGTAAGGGGATCAAGGATCATGGATGATCATTCAACTCACCAAACTGAGGACAGAGATATGAGGGCAAGTGACTAAAATCTTGGTTGCTTTAAGAAGAATCTTAAAAGGAGGGAAGCAGAGAAGTTCAGGGAGGAATGCCAAAGCTTATGGCTTAGTCACATGAAGTCATTACAATAGTCACTTCAGCAAAACTTGTGAAGTGCGAAGTTGGACAGTGATCACCCTTTCTGTCTTGCATTCACATTCTTGACGATCCCTCAGCTAACCAATGTTAACATGCCTAACCTTTTCTCTGCAGTGTAAACTGGTGTGATTGTTTGAAATTTGGCATCCTTGCATTCTGTCCTGATGAGTGCGAGATGAAGTAGGGGGCGGCATGGTAGCTCAGTGGTTAGCACTGCTGCCTCACAGCACCAGGGATTCAGGTTCAATTCCAGCCTCGGGCGACTGCCTGTGTGGACTTTGCACATTCTCCCTGTGTCTGCATGGGTTTCCTCCAGGTGCTTCGGTTTCCTCCCACAGTCCAAAGATGTGCAGGCTAGGTGGATTGGCCATGCTAAATTGCCCGTAGTATTCAGGGATGTGTGGATTAGGTAGGTTATAGGGGGCTGGATCTGGGTGGGATGCTCGGAGGGTTGGTGTGGACTTGTTGGGCCGAAGGGCCTGTTTCCACACTGTAGGAGTTTTATGGCTCTACGGCAGAAAAAGATTCTTCAACCCGCCTCTTGTTTCAGCCAGATTCAAGTGCTCTCCCACCAAGCAGCTTCTGAAGCAGTTTGTTCGCTTGTAATGAATTTGGAAATCCTGAGGTTGTGCACCGGGGAGGGAACTTTCCGTCCTTACCTAGTCTGCTCAGCACATGGTTAAACCCTGAGATCAACCGACAACAGTTAATAAATGTGGTCTTGCCAATGCTGCTCGTGTTCCAATGGAATTAGGATAAAACCCGTGACAAGGCAATGAGCTACCAGAACGTCTCAGCGCAGAGTTGGAGCAGTGTATGCCTCATACCTGTCCAGATGATGCCGATGCCAGGCTGGAGCTCATTCCCTATCACTTTCAGGTAGTAGGACTTACTCAGGCTGGGGTAGCACAAGGAACTGCAGTATTCTGAAACACAATCAGAGACACAGAGCAAGCAGGAGAGGTTCACTTATTCTTTCTGGCAAGTGTATTTTAGGAATAATTACCAAACGAACAATTTATTACCAAACAAACAATATCAGATGCTGCAGGAAGGGCTGTTTCCAACAGAACCACAGTAATCATCATAGAAACATAACACCTAAAAGTTCTGCCTATGGGTGTGGGGATGGCACAGGTTTGGGAGGGGTCTGGTGAAATTCTTGGCTAAAATCTGAAAGCAGGAAATGGGTTTCACCAATTTGTACATTGTTTCGTTTCGATTAGCTACTTGGAGAGAGAGGGGCTTGTGTGGATGGGTTTGATTGTGAGTGTGTGTGCACATGAGTGACTGTGAGGGAGAGAGAGGTCGTATGTATCTGTGTGTGTGTGTGTGTGTGTGTTTGTGTGTGTGAGAGAGTGTGCTGCAAGTGAGCATTGTGTGTCTATTGCAATTATATTCTTTATATTTGAGTATTGCTGAAAACAGACACATTTTGTTGAAACTTCCTGATCAGGACACTCCACAAGAATACCATTTCAAGGGGGTTAGGGGGAAGAGAGAAAATATTTCTACTACATGCAAGGACAGTGTCGATGAGTTGATAAATGGCCTCTGATTGTGGAAGCTTTGCCATGGCATTTGCAATAATAAATGACGAATGATAGTTAACTGCCACCCTAGTTTAAATTTTAAACCAAGCATGTTGACTCTGATCAGCCCTGGGGAATGTACCAGCAAACTGCTGTCATTTATTTTGTTGAGTTGAAACCAGTACAATATGTATAATTTTAGTTCTGTTTGCAACAAAAAAAGGCCTTGTGTATAAAATATATATATAGCTGCCAGGTACGCAGGTACAACACACAGTGAGCCAAATCTTAATATACCCACCAGTTTCCCTGAATCCCCAGCATATGCAGTAAAGAGTGAACTACAGTATTTTTAGAGTCTGGAAACAGTGTCCTTTAGCAGCATTGCAGTGAAACAGTCTCAGTCTGGGAGCAGTGTCCTGCAGTCATCATCACAGTGATGCAGTGTGGGAGTGGTGTTCTGCAGTCAGTATCACAGTGAAGCAGTCTGGGAGCGGTGTCCTGCGGTCAGT